ACACTCATCTACCTACAGAAAACTGCTCTTCAACAAAGGGCCGAGAAACACTAAATGGGACAGACATGGCCTCGTCAACAAAAGCTGTGGGCAAAACTGCATTCCCACCCAACAGAAAAACGAAGCAGGGACCCTACCTCAACCCACGTACAAAAACAAGCTCAAGACGGAGCGAAGGCCAAGGTGTCCATCCCAGAAACATAAGATCATCAGTGAGATCATAAGCAGTAACTTCAAGGGTGTATTGCAGGGCAGAGACATGCTATGATATACAATGAAGGAAGTACCTATGGTGGATGAAAAATAGGTGACTGGACCCTCCTAGAAAGAAGACACTCAATGGATCCAAACACTTCGTTGAAAGACTAAGGAGAGAACCAACCCATAGGGTTTTCCTGGGCTGGTTTTAGGAAGTGACTCCTCAGGCCTTTCTTGCTCATCTGCAAACTGCTGAAGCCCATCCAACAAGATAGCAGCATGAAAGTCGGCCCTGACTGGCAGTGGTGGCATTGGCTGACCTGGCGCTTTGCCCAGGGACGGGGCCCAGGAAGCAAGAGTCTAACCCTGTGCTGACTGCTGAGGACCTACGAACGCCTGCGCTGTGACTCCTGTCCTCAGAGACAAGACGTGCCCTACAAGAAACACAAGATGCCTACGTGAAAAACAGTATATCCATATGAATCTACCCCTTATCTTCTGCTTATTAAATGCTGATGTGTTTCAGCCTCTCACCTGGATGCCCCGGTCTGCCAGCCTGGCGCACCTTCTCTATCCGATGTCTCTGTTCCATGTGCCCCTCACATTAATCCTACTCTTCCCGCCTGGTTGTGGGGTTTAACAGTGTCCCTCAGCACCCCTCATCCTCTGGACCCTGTTCTGCTTTCATCCCGTGCGCTCAGAACCATCTAGCAGGTGCCAGTGTCCGTCTGCCCCGGTCCAGCAGGAGCTCCAGGAAGACTTGGCTGGCCAGGTGGGGCCGGGGGCAGGGGTGGGGGTGGCCTGCCATGTTCTCTGTGGAACCCAGCCCACCGCCCTGCCATGGAGCCAGTGCTGACTGGCCACAGGCCTGTCGCACGGCTATAACCCTTCACGGGGGGCACACAGCCCCATCACTCTCCCACAGGGTAACCGGTGTTAAGTGCAATCCCTTCCGACTCAAGGCCACCCCGCGTGGCAGAATCCAACTGCCTGGTCGGACTTCCAGCCTGTGACCTTTCTCAGGGGGTGCAGCTGGAGGGGTGTGAACTGCCGAGTCAACTAGCAACATGTATGTGTGTGTGTGTGTGTATGGGTGCGCGCGCGCACGCACGCGTGCTCAGGGACTCCCACTCCATATTTGCTAATGACTAGAACACGTGACCATTGGCATTAGCCTCATGTAAACGGAGTGCCCGGGGGTCAGCTAATCCGAGTCCATGCACAGGGAACCCTCTACTTCCAGGCAGTTCCTAAAGGCTTCTGGAGCGGGAACCTCCATCCCTGGCCTGCCTGGGCTGTGTGCTGTCTGTCCCGTGTGCACACTGCCTGCTGCAGGCTCTCTTAGGTTGGCTGCACTCCCGTGACTTGTCGTTGGGGGGCCTCCTGACACAGGGACAGCCTAGGCCATCCCAGTCTCCAGGACCTTCTCCCTTCTGCTGCGGGAAGGAACAAACTGCACCGCTGAGAAAACAATCCATCATTTTGTCATAACATTTCCATTTCAAAGGCTTCTCCTCCACGCTTCTCTAGGCCAAAGCTTCCTCTCATTAGCATGAGAGGCGTTGGCAGGGAGCTGAGTGACAGGGAGGGAGGCGGCTGGAAATGGGCTCCAGGCCTGGGGGAGCCACTGTGTCTAGTCAGGGGACTGAGGCGCTGGGGCTGGGAGGGCCCTGTCCCCAAGGGAGGGCCTGTGTCCTTGTCCATGTGTCTGTGTGTGATTCTATGCGTACCTGTGTGTATGCATCAGCCGGCGTCTGTGTGTGTGTGTTGTGCACATGTGTGTTTGTGTGCTCACATGCTCATGTCTCCGTGAACTCCTATTCTGGCCACCCTGTCCGAGATATACTATTCACTCATTTAGCACGGCACTAGGCGCCTGGGGCCTTGGCCAGCATCCAGTGTGGTCACCACCCTACGGTCGGGCATCGAGTTCACTGAGATTGAAGGACTCAAGATGGAAGATGGCTGAAGGGTGCTCAGTCCCTGTCTAGTCCAAATTCACTCAAAACCAAGCGTGTCCCTGTCCAAACAAACACCAGAACCCACAGCCGTGGAGTGGACTCCAGCCCCACTCCAGCTCACAGCGGCCCACAGGACAGAGTGCAACTGACCCTGTGGGGTTCGGAGCCGAACTTGGCGGAATCGACAGGCTCATCTTTTGCCCCCAGAGCAGCTGGCGGGTTCCCACCTTGACCTTCCATTCTCACACTTACCCAGTGTGCACCTGCACCCAGACCCCTTTCCCGTCCGGTCAGGGGCTGTGAACTTGGGAAAGAGGCTCTGGTTCTGTGGACAGGGCTGTTGGGGGATAGCCAGACGGACGCCAGCCCGCCCAAGCGCAGAACCTCCTGTGAGGTGGCTCCTTCTAAGGCACGAGTCAGCATGACCGGACCGGGCTCACTACGGGAAATCTGACGTGGCAGGTGGAGAGAAAACGGAGCATTCCGTGTGTCTCTCTCGGGCAGGTCGCCCAAGCAGGGTCTCGTGGTTGCTGGGGGCCCCCAGAGGCACCCCATTTAATACGCAGTTTGTAACGTTAAAAAAAAATCCACAAACGTAGAAATGTATGTGATCTCCTACCAGTTCTCGGTATTTCCGCCCAGTTTTGCAATCATTCCCCAAATGCCAACCAACCACGGAATTGTGACGGCGCTTTCTTCTCCTGGCTCGGAAACAATCCCCACACAGCCTCCTCCCCAGAGCCCCGAATTCAGAAGCCGTGGGCCTCAAATTGCAGTTTGCTTTGGCACTCAATAAGACAGCCCCACGTGTCGTTGCCGCCACGTTCCGCTGGCGGTGGCTCCATGACAAGATCCCAGAGGAAAACGGCGTGGCTCCGCAGAACCTCGCTGGCTGCGGCGAGCCAGGCACCGCTCCACGGTGCGTGCGCGTGCGTGGGCGGGGGCATCGGAGATGTCCGAATGGGAGGGGCAGTCAGTGGTCAAGGAGACAGACAAGCGCCACAGCATCCTGGCACTATGCTCGCGAGTTTCAGAGGTCGGTCACCGGCATTTCTTCCTGGTTTGTCTTAGTGAGGCAGCTCCGCTGACAGCGTCGCAGCATGAGCAGACCGGCCTCCTCTGACGAACGCGTGGTGGCCGCACACGAGGTTCCTTAGCTGGAAACCCAATTTGGGTCTCTGATGTGGAAGACGAGAATTCTACCCCTGTCCCCTGACACCTGATCATAGTGCAGGTGACTCAGGACTGAACAGAGCTAGCTGTGCGTGAGGTCAGCACCTGCCAACTTGACGTATAAAAGGGTAGGGGTGGAGTCTACCCCGTCAAACAGGTCACAGCCTGATGGGGACTCCTTGAGAGCAGTGGCCTTCTCATACGGAGAATCCTGGGGAACTCCCCTCCCTCACTGCTGTCACCTTTCTGCTGGCTGCTCCTAAATGCTACCAGAGCTCTCACCATTGGATCCACACGGCTTTGCAGCCTGCGATCTTCCTGCATTCTGCATCATTGCATGTGGTTGCATGAGTCTGAAGACGATCTTATGGACTAGTGTCGGACTATGGACTTGAGTTGGAGTGGCCTGGGATGCTTTATGGGTATTTAATTACTTCTCGATATAAAGCTCTTTCTTACACATAGATGAGTGTCTCTGGAGTTCTTCCTCTAGTCAGCCCAGCCTAACACAGCACCCAGCAGCAACACCTAGGGAAAGCACTGGGTGCACAGGGACCCACAGGAGAAGTGCCAGGTCAGCAAGGTCCTGAAGAGACAGGACTGAGTTGAGGTTGAAGGACAAATAAATTCTCATCAGACTAAGGGCGTGGGCCTGGAGAACATTCCAGGTTGACCATTCTCTGTGGCCAGAAAAGCCCCGAGGCTCAGAATACGGGGCAGCTGCAGAGCCCCTGTGACTACTGCCCTGCATGCCCAGGAGGGAAAGTTGCACACAGATCCTCCAAGGACAGACATGGACACGGGGGTGGGGGGGGCTGGAGGGGGGATTCGATCCAAGCCTGGTGGTTATGAAAACACCGTATTTAGACTTTCTATTTTAAGTCCAGTTGAGGTTGGGGTATTTAAAAATACAATTTGTTCGATGTAAAGGCATTGAAATATAACACAATTTTTTCTAAGTCTATTCGGCATTTTTTTTCTCTCTCCCCAATCTACCAGAAGCCTAAAAATAATGACCGTGGCCCCATTCTGTCTCATTCTTGGCAAATAGGTGGCATCGGTCCTAAATAAGGAAAATGAGACTGAGAGAAGTCACCCAAACCCAACGCCTCGCACAGCACACTGCTGGCCACGGGGCTCGATGCATCACGGTCCAGTCCACGGCTGCACGCGACCCCTGGTGTGCTCACCTTCACTCTCTCCCACACCCGCCCCAGGTTCCTCAGTCCGCTGCAGGCTTCAAGCCTCTGGGGAGCCTCCCCCTACTGCCCCGCCCCCATTCCACCTTGCTCCTTCCCTGCAGGGGTCCGCCACCTGTGCACCTTGTATTGTTTGTTCTGGGGAACAGCCGGGAATAATCTGGAGTGTGAAGACAGATAGCCAACACATGCCCTTAGCTCTGATTGGCTCGTGAAAGTCTCCACCCACCATGTCCTCAGTCCTTCCTGACCAATAGGGTCCCAGCTTCGGCCGGCACACCACGGAACAAGCACATCCCACCCCACGAGGCCGGCTGCAAGGAGGGCGAGGGAAGCCAGGCTTGCAGAGACACGTTTATTGAGAACCATCTGCTTAAAGTCCCGATGTGCACGCTGCGTATGCTCGGGGACACACGCGTGCGCAATGGCGTGTACTTGGCGGCAGCCTGGTCCCCGGGTTGTGGTGCAATCAGATAGCCTTGGCCAGCCCCAGGCGGTTGTTGGCCCTGTCGAAGACGCTGAAATACTCCCGGATGAAGACGTCCCCCAGGATCCACTGCTGGGAGCCATTGTCACCCTGGAAGCCACTGGTGCAGGCGTCCTCGTCCTGGGAAAGGAAGGCTGGCTCAGGCGAGGCTGGTCCTGGGGCAAGCATTTCCCCACCCAGTTCCCCAGTTCTCGTCTGTTATTTCATTTACCCGGGAAATCAAATAACGATCAGAACCGTCGCGCTCAACAAATGAAGACGTCGAGAGTCAGAAAAACGGCTTCACTCCCGGCTGCCCCTGGCTCTGTCCTGGGCTCCACTCCCACTGACATTTCCTCCGACCCCCTGCCCTCCACCCCTGCCCGCTGACTGGCCAGGGCTGGCCCTCGGGCTAATACTGCTGCCCTGCCCTTTTGGGGTGCTCAGGATTAGGTCAAAGCTGGGGCCAGCATTGGGTGTCTAGGACACCGGAGCTTCCAAGTCAGCCCTGGCCAGAGCTCTGGGCGCTCGGTCTCAGAAGGCTGAACGGGAGATGCTGGTCCACAAGGGTGGGTTGTGGTCCTCGGCTTTCCATCCTCCTTGCCTGCTCGCACCCGCTGCCTCCTTCTGTCCTTTCTGCCCTGCCCCACCCCCTATAGAAACCACAAACAGCGCCCTGGAAAACATGGGACCACTTAGAAGGGCCAATTGTTCTGAATGCATGTCCCCGAATTCTCCGTCTCAGCCTTGCCATTCTCTTATCTCCAGTGTCCTTATCTCCCAACTCAGGGAGAGATGAGGGGTGCTCAGAGGCACCCAGGGGCTTCCTCTGGAGAGACTGGTACCTGGTTGGTGTAGGCAGAGGGCGGCAGTGGGTACTGTCGGCCGTGGATGTGGAAGACCACAGTGGGCATGCTGCTCAGGCTCCCGCAGTTGATGTCAAACTGAAAAGGCAAAGGCAGCTCCTCTTAGCATGGAAAGTGGGATGTGAATCTCTCCCGTGCTACTGGCACGACGAGCTGCCCAGGCCAGGACCCGCTTCCTCTGCATGCTGAGAACCCAGAAGGTGGGGAAAGGCGCCCTTTCTGCTCAGAGAACTGAAGGGATGTTCTCAGGCCAAAAGCTGGGTAGAGACACTCAGGGGGACTGTCGTCAGCCAACCCTGGGGCAGGTCCCAGGAAAGGACAAAGGGGTCCTACCAGAGCTTGCAGAGGCCCCTGAGAGCACTCAGCTGTCTGGGAGGAGAAGGATGGGGCTTGTGCATGGAGGATGAACGAGGGAGCACAGCTAAGGGCAAAGACAAGGCTCAGCGCACCCGGAGCTGGGGGTCAGCCGCAGCTGCTCCACAAGACATGGCAGCGTCCACACCCAAGGGGCCCAGACCACAACTCCCGAGGGCCCGGAATCAGCTCCCGAGCTTTATACATTTCTGCCAGGGAGCAAAGCCACGCGGGGACTGGCCTCACCTGGCCATACTGGCCCTCTGTAGCTCCAATGACCTTCTGGATATTGAGAATGTCGCTGCCAGGCCCCACCAGCAGGGAGGTGCCAGTGTCCAGGATGGCTTGACAGCCACCATCGCAGGCCACCACCACACCGTCCACAGTGACGCTGCCGGGAAATCAGATGGCTTCCGGAGTGTCCAGCATCATCTCTCTCCCAGGGAACTACCCTCCCCCTTCCCTGCAGGCCCTCTACCCTCCTCAGTCTCTCTCCTGAGGCCCCTGACACTTCTGAACACAGAGAAACCACTTAACCCTTTTTTTAATGCAGCTCAGAGGCTGTATGAAGGCTGTCGCACTGTCTGGGTCAGACCTGAATAATCAAATCCTGAGTTTTAAGGAGTAAACTGGGCCTGTACCGTTGCCTACAGAGCTGGTTTCAAATTTCACTCTGCAGCCTTGCTGCTGCTCTCAGGCAAGTTGCCTAACCCATCCACACACAGACTTCTCTACAAAGTGGGGGCCATGACCCCCAATTTGACTTCCTGAAGGGACGGTGGTCAGGTTCAAATTCAGCATTAGCAATTGATAGAAGGGGGGTGGGGTGCGGTTCACAAAGGCCTGCAGGGTGGTGTTAGCTGCCATCCAGTCCGCCCCGACTCGTGGCCTCCCCACGGACAACGGGCTCAGACCTCAGTGCTCCACAGGTTCATGGGATGGTTTTCAGAAGGCGTTCACCAGGCCTTTCTTCCTACTCTGTCCTGGTCTCCAAACGGCACTGACACCTGTTCAGCATTATCCCAACAAGTGGTGGCTGCTCCGGGGATACATTGGCTGGGAATTAAACCTGGGCCTCCTGCATTGACTCAAAACCAAACTCACTGCCACTGAGTCGATTCCAACTCGTAGGGGCCTTTTGGACCGGGTCAAACTGCCCCGGTGGGTTTCTGAGACTGTAAGTCTTTACGGGAGTAGGAGTGGGTGGTTTCAAACTGCCGACCTTGCAGTTAGCAGCCCAATATGTAATCACTACACCACCATTGCACAGAAGGCAAGCACTGCACCAGTGAGTGAGTCCCCACTGCCCTCCATATTGTTCAGGCACCAGGGAGCCGGCCAGCCCGAGAGATGGCTGAGCACCGTGCCTAGCAGGCAGCGCGCGTGCTCAGCAAACTCAGCACGTTTTACTGAGAAAGCATAGGGGAGTGTGTACGTCATCAGGGACGAAAGACATTTGATCTCGGATGTATGGGACTCACACTCGGACTCCCTGGCCTGGTGGGTTACTAGAAGGCAGACCTGCCTGCACCCTGGGCCCCCAGGTTCCCGGGTCATACCCACCTGTCCACGGTGAACTGCCAGTACTCCTGCACCGTCACGGGCACCCAGTGCAGGGAGCCAGTGTAGTAGGACGAGTCAATGGCTCCCAGCGTGAGCATGCTCCCCTGGCCGTCCCTGAAACCAATTTGGGACAGGCCTGTGGACCTCGCTGACCGCAACAGCCCACACTCAGGCAGGGGAGACCCAGCCCATCTTCCCCAAGACGCTTCCCCGCCTGCTTCCAGCTCCTGATGTGCCCCCTCAGCTGGATCCTCCCTGCCCTGCCCTGCTCGGCAGCCCCAGACCCTCACAACACCAGGCCTGGCCCTCACGTGAAACAGGCTGGGGGTGGGGGTGGGCATGGGGGTGGCGGAGCCTCAGGGGCCACTTGAGGTGAGCGTACACGCGGGCGAGGTCCCAAGACATGGTGCTGGCAGGCTCGACCTCAGTCACACTCAGCATCAGGGTTGGCTCCCTGTGCCCCTGCATCCAGGCCCTTGGTGGCCCCTACGACTTCAGCCCAGAGCTCCTCGGTTCCCTCTGTGTCACCACTAAGACATGCTCCCACCTGAAGCCTCACCTGCTCGCACTGCTTCTTGCAGCTCCTGGACCTCACCGACGACAACCCCCTCCGGATTCTCCCCATCTCCCCTCTCCCTGGAATACACTGTCCCTCAGTACCACCTGGGTGACTCCCACTTGGCCCCATGGCACACAGGCTTTGCCTGCCGTTGTCAAGCCTGCAATGCACTCAGACGTCCCTGGAGCACCCGCACCCTCACCGCAGCCACAAAAGGGGAGTCAGATCTGTCATCTGTCTTCTGTTCGCCGCCCCCCACCCTTTGTCTGGTTTCCTGGAGCAGCCCCTCCCGTAGTAAGAGTCCAACAGACAGAAATGGGATGAGTGACTGGACGGATGGATGCACAGTTCACCCCGCCGCCCTTTTCCCCCCAAGCTGGCCCTTCCCTCTGGTGAGCTCAGCCTGATCATAGGGGCAGAGCGTAGGGTAGAGGGGTTGGGGATGGGAAGGACTGGGAGGGATCATCCCTCCCTGGGCCTCTTTCCCACATCGTGAAAGGAAGCTAGACTCCGTTGTCATCTGCTGCTCTTTTGAACTAATGATCATGAAGGCCCTGAACTTAAAAAAAAAAAAAACTGTCAAAAGCCCCTCTCCAAAAACTGAAAAGCTGATGCCAAAGGCTCAATAGAAAGTACATGTCCAGAAAAGGAGGGTGGCGACATGTGTACAAATACACTGATACCATCAAGGTATGGATTATAATAAGAGTTGTAAGAGCCACCAATAAAATATTTTTTTAAGCACCCCTATCCAAGCGTGGCAACGGGAGAAATTTTTTCCACGCCAGAAGTCAGAGTTACATGTCCCCCTAGAACATGCACGATGGTAATGGGGCCACTGGACAAGAGACTGGAGGTATCTTCCTATCGTCCCGGGACACAAGGGTCCGGTTGGCAGAGGGTCCCCAAGGAGTGGACCCTGCCCCGCCCCCCCAGTCATCCTCCTCAGAGCATCAGCATCAGCCTCTACCTGCTCATGTAAACCGAGAACAGGTCCTGGGCCACCAGGTGTCTGCTCATCATGTTGTCAAACACGGGCACCGAGTACTCAGAGGCCAGGGAGGGGTAGGCCAGCCCCAGGATGCCGTCAAACTCAGAGTAGGTGAAGACATCACCGGGCTCCTGGGTGCTCAGGCCCACCGTCTGGTGGGGGTCCACAATGTCAGAGACCTGCAAGAGAGAGCCCACGGTGAGGGACCTCCACCTGCAGCCTGAGACAGAAGGGTCCCCCGGGTGGGGCACCCAGGTAGCAGGAAGCCCCTACGGTGGGAGGAACTGCAGGAAAGTAGGGGAGAGAGAAGGGGGTCTTGACCAAAGATGGCCAGGCTCTCCACACGTGAGGGGTGCGGAAGGGTCCCAACAGGACTGATGGGCGACAGGCTAAGGCAGGGAGTGGCTAAACGGAGAACACCCCACTGTATTTCATCTTTCCCACAGCCTCCGAGGGAGTGGCGTGCCCTCCCTTTGACAGATGGGGTCCCTGAGGGCCCAAAGCCACACCGTTGGATAGAGGGGAGGCAAGCTCTCCTCAGAGCCCTGCTCCTGGCCACCCAGCAGTCCCTCCTGGGCTGGTGGGGAGGCCCTGTCTCAGGCCTGTACCCAGAGCCCCTTGCCCCAAGGGGTGGTCTTTTGTTCCAAATGCTCCACAGCCTGGATTCCTCTCAGCCCATGTCTAAGCTTTCTGGACTTCTTCACCCCCCTGCTAGCTCCCAGAAGTCCTCCCGCTGGGAATAAAAAGCTGGCATGGCCTCCCTATCCTGTTCAGTCCCCACACTGCTCTCTGCAGCGGCCACGCATGCCAGCCCAGGCGGCCAACACTGGTCAAAACAAGCAGAGGCCAGAACCACCGGGGTGGACTCACATCAGTCAGACAGCTTCCCACTATGCCTCACTGCACACTTCCATGTGAGGCTTGCAGCACACCGGGGGAGGGGGAGGGGTGTCCACTGAGGATCACCCCACTGCCTGCCTAAGGCAGACACGTGCAGGTCACCAGGATGGACCGTGGATGTGGGCATGAGGTCCCGGGCCAGCTCTTCAATGAGGAGGCAGGTTTTTCCTGCACCCCAAAGCGGAGAGGATAACACAGCTCCAGATGACAGGGGAAGTAGGACGCCAGAGCGGCGTGCTTCGCTTGGTGGAGCCTGGGAACTCCTTGTTAACACTGGCCCTTGCGGAAGGCTAAGTTTGGTGGCCACCCGCCCAGCGGGGAGGAGAGAGTGCAGACAAGGCTGTCAGCAGGGAAAGCTCAAAGCAATCGAGACTTCATCCAGACCTAAGGAAGATCAAGGTGCTGTGCATAAAGGAAGATTGCTTGCTTTTTGACCTTGAATGGTGAGTGAGGGCGGGAAGCAAGCTAGCCCATCTCTTAGGCATCACTAGGTGTCCACTAAAGCCCTGGACCTCTGGAAGCCAAGAGCAGGAGGGAGCAGAGACGCTCGCCCTCCGCGGGCACAGGTGCTGTGTGATGTGGGAGCAGACACTGCGCTGTCTGCGTCTCAGAAAGAGCGATGGAGAAGGGAGCCTGCTCCCATAGTCAGAGCCTGGGTCTGACGCTCAACCTCCTCCGTCACCCGCTGTGTGACCTTACGCAAGTTAGTCACCCATCTGAGCCTCAGTTTCCTTGTCTGAACAATGGGGGAAATAGGAATTTCCTCAAAGGGCTGTGGGTAGCAAGAAACTCAACAAGAGACCACAGGTGTGTCCTTGAAGAGCCCCGTGGAGCTCAGGCTCAGTAATTCTGGGCTGGCCTCAGCGGGGGGCAAGGCGGAGAGGAGGGCTATAAACAGGATCAGAGCAGGGGCATCTCTGACCTGCAGCAGGCTCTCCTGTGGCCTCTGAGGGCCCAGAACAGGAAGGAGAGGAAGGATCAGGCTCAAAATCCAGACCCATCAAGGCACCCCTCTCCCAGGCAGGCATGGCCCATGGGGTATCCCGGAGCTGCAGCCCCAGAGCCAGGGTGGCTGTCTGTCCACCTGTCTGTGGTGGGCAAGCGGCGGGTGGAAGCAACAGGGTGAGCAACTCCACTTACGGTGACGGTGTCGTAGCCCAGAAAACCCTGCATGCTCCCCGTGCCGTACTGGATGGTCAGGGGCTGGCCCATGTTCTGGAAGGTGGAGGACTTGGACGGGTCGAAACGGTGGTGGTTTTCTGGAACAAAGGTCCGGGTTAGGGGGCACCTTTCAGGAAGGCCCCCACCCCCCGCATGGTGGCAGTGCCAACTGGGCTGAAACACTGCAGGCTGGGCACCAGTAGCTGCCTACACGCTGCCCAGCTATAACTCTGTCTAGTACAGAAAGTCGTACCTTGCTGCTCAGCCCCAAAACAGAGATGGAAGGGGACAGGGGGATGGGGCAGGGATGGGGAGGAAGAGGAGGAAGGGGGAAGGAAGGGGAGGGAGGTTTTCCAACGCACTCTACCTTCACCAACTGAGGAGTCTTAAGCAAGTCCCTTTTCTGAACCTTGGCTTCCCCTTCTGTCAAACTGGGCTACAAGGAGAGCTAGCCTCCCAGAGGTTTTGGGGGAGATAAATGATTAACATGCAGTACATGCTTACTCATCAGGAGTAACACTACATACTCAACTCACTGCCATCGCGTCGGTTTCCACTCATAGTGACCCTACGGGACAGGGTAGACCGTAACTCTTTACAGGCGTATACAGGAGTAGAAGGCCACTTCTCTATCCTGTGGAGTGACTGGTGGTTTTGAACTGCTAACCTTGTAGTTAGCAGTCCAATGCATAACCACTATGCCACCAGGATTCCTCAGTTTATGCTCCCAGCACCCACTGATACCTCGTATTAAAAAGAAAGGGGAAACAAGCTCACTGCCAGGGAATCCATTCTGACTTAGAGTGGGCTGCAGGGCAGGAGAGAGCTGACTTACAGTGGGTTTCTGAGACCGTGACTGTTTACAGGAGTAGAAAGCCTCGTCTTTCTCCTGAGGAGCGGCTCGTGGTTTTGCGCTGCTTTTGGTTAGCAGCCCACCTGGTCCCTATTGCACCACCAGGCTCCTTACTACCCCAAAGCCCCAGCTAAAGGAAGAGAGAGCAGAGGACTTCAGAAACTAAGCAGCTTGCCTTGTCTCCCAGCAAAGACCAGAAAGAGCAAAACTAAGCTTCCCCAATTCCCAGCTTGGACTTGATGCATTACAGCATGGTTTGCAACCCAGAGAGTAGAAAGGGGGCATTACAGAGCAGGCTGGGGTGTCACAGAGCATGCTCCCTCCACGCCCACTTCTGCCCTGACATGCCACACACACCCCCAGCGTGGGCTTGTGCGTGAGTACCTGTGGGAGGGGCAACAGGGGGGTGGGTCACTCACGGCAGGCATCACTGCTACAGTAGACAGAGGGCACCCAGAGGTCGGAGGAGCCGGTGTCAAAGACCACGGTGAACTCCTGGGGCGGGGTCCCGATGGAGATCTTTCCAAAGTACTGGCACTGTGGACAGAGGGCACTGCGTCAGAGGCAGGGGCTGGTGGCTGGTGCCTGGCATGGAGCACACTCAGCTTTGCCGACGCTCAGCTTTCTGACCAGGGCCTGGGAGCATCTCATGGTACCGTGCAGGGGCAGAAACACAAGGAAGATCCCTAGGGAGGGTCCCCAGCCTCAGTCTCTCAGCCAGAGCTCCAGCCATGCTTTCTCTGACCCTCCCAGACAACCCACAACCCCGCAGCCACTGACCAGAGCATAACCCCTGCCTGCTAGGCAGCCCGAGGCACCCCTGCCAGTCAGGGGAAGAAACTGGGCACAGAGGACGGGGGTTCGCTAGGCCAGGGTCCCAAATCCCAAGGGGCAGTCCCTGTTCACACCTGCCTCCTCACCAGCCCTCTCCAGGTATGGAGCTCAGCTGGGGCGGGGTGAAGCTGAGCTAGATAAGGAAAGGAGAGTGATGGGGTGGGGAAGCGGGTTGTTTACTGTCAAGAGTGACGAAGGGAGGGGAGAGAGTCTAGCTCCAAAAGGAACAGAGCATGCAGCAGCACGTTCCTGCCCGAGTCCCTGATGGGAGGAGGAGGCAGATGTTGGCCGTGGAGAGCCTCGCTGCAGAATCGGGGCCACACTTGGGTCCCCTGGGCTGTGGAAGGCGGGCAGGAGGCTGGGTCTGGAAGCGGAGGGTGCAGCCCCAAGAGCTGGTGCAGGGAGGTTGACCGGGCACAGCCCTCCCAAGGGTGACATTTGCAGCCTTCGAGGCAAGAGCTTGCTGCCCATGGAGCCGCTGGCCCCATGTGGACCTTCCTGGGGGCCAGGGAGCAGCCCTCCATGCCACACGGGATGGCAGGGCTCCCGGAGGCGGGTGGTGTGTGAGGGGTGGGGAAGTGCCCAGGGAGGCTGAGCTGAGAGGCATGGCGCATCTCTATGGGAATCCGTTCCCCGAAAGGCAGGCAGAACCACTCACATCCAGGTAGTTGGTCAGGGCCTCTCTGGCCACCTCCCCGAGCTTGGAGTACTTCCCGCCGATTGCATCCTGGTGTCTTCTCAGAAAGTCGTCCAGGAGCCCATTCTCCTTCAGGACTTTCCGCAAAGACTTCCCCTTGTGCAGGGGGACCCTGAGGAGGGGGCAAGGGGGAGAGGTGCCCAGGGCCTCTGGACTCTGTGAGCCACTTCCTGTCCCAGGCCAATGGCTTCTGTTTTTGTTTCTTTAACATCATAACCCGAAGTAAAAAGCCCTATTTGATGTCAGCCCATCCATCCAGAACCAGCCTTCCTAAATGCCAAGCAACTCCCATATTTTCCGGCCCAGGCCCCCACCCCGTGTGGGTGGAGACGCGTTTTAGGCAGAGTCTATATGCGCTAATGAGCTTTACAACACGTGGCTTGAAAAGGAAGCCCTGGTGGCATCCTGGCGATGCGTTGCGTCAGCAATTCGGAACCACCAGCCGGCTCCGTGGGGGGAGAAAGGTGGATCTTTCTGCTCCTGGACAGTATTTAGTCTCGGAAACTCACAGGGCCACTTTCTACCCTGTCCTGTGGGGTCACTGTGAGCCAGCCTCAACTTGATGGCCCTGAGTTGGAGAGTGTTTGTTTTGTTTGGAGTTTGACAGACACCATTACTTAAGAATCCTCCATTGCTCCTCAGTTAAGCAAATTCTTGCTGTGCGCCTAGGATGGGCCAGCCATCGAGCCAGGCACAGGGGACACGGCAGTGAAAAAGACAAGTGTCTGCCCAACGCCAACAAGGGAGTCCCTCCTGCTCGCTGGCCAGTGCCAACCCCTTGCTGACGAATGCCCCCTCCACTCAGGGTAGCCTCCGCCCCAGCGGGTAGAAGTCTTCCCAGGATTTCTCAACGTGAGGGCTTCCACGTTGGGGGGTAGAGACGAATGAGCAGAGGGAAAATCAAGAAGGAACTCAACAGACTGCGTTTGGATCGGGCTTTCGTGGAGGTGGAATGGTAACACGTTGGCTTTCGAACCACAAGGTCAGCAGTTCTGAAAGCCGCTCCTTGGGAGAAAGATGAGGCTTTCTACTCCCATGAAGAGTTATCGTCTCAGAAACCCACAGAGGCATATCTGTCATACCTGTAGTCGTACCTGTAGTCGTACCTGTAGTCATACCTATAGTCGTACCTGTATTCGTAGTCGTAACTGTAGTCGTACCTGTAGTCATACCTGTAGTCGTACCTGTAGTCATACCTGTACTCGTACCTGTAGTCATACCTGTAGTCGTACCTGTAGTCGTACCTGTAGTCATACCTGTATTCGTACCTGTATTCGTACCTGTATTCATAGTCGTACCTGTAGTCGTACCTGTAGTCATACCTGTACTCGTACCTGTAGTTGTACCTGTAGTCGTACCTGTAGTCGTACCTGTAGTCGTACCTGTATTCATAGTTGTACCTGTAGTCGTACCTGTAGTCATACCTGGAGCTGGGTCGCTGTCAGTCGGCATGGACTCAAAGGCAATGAGTTTGGTTTTTCTGCCCCTTCGACGGCACCGTGAGCATCTCCCCCAAAGCTCTCGTGTTTCCGCCCCTCCTGTGATGGGCTCCCCCCCACCCCTCCACTGCCAGTCACTCTCCTGGCCCTGCCTTTGATGAACCAGGTGGCCCAGCCTCTGAGGGCCCCCTCCTGTAGTTGGCAAGAGCTGAACTTGCTTCCCGAGGCTTCTCGCAGCCCCAAGACTCCATCCATCGCAAGGTCTTCTGGGGTGGGGCTGGTTCGTGGATCACGTGAGCCACCCATGGGAAAGTGCTCTGAGAGCAATAGAATGGGATTTCTCGTGTTGTTCGCGTCCCAAATGGGTTCCACATGAGCCAGTCCTGTGCATGAATGATGATCCCTCCCCGGGTCCTCCACGCCCAACCCTCCTATGTGACTTCAGCCAGAGCTCGGCTGATCAGTCACAGGGCTGTGAGGTGTGTCTCAGCCTTTGTTCCCAAAGCTAGCAAAGGGTTGAGGGACCTAAAGGAAGGAGGCTGGATGAGTCCCTAGGACCAAGTCCACAGCTACTCCATCCTACATGCTCAGGTCTAGGTCTGCTTGGCTCCAGCCACAGTTCCCATGTGGGTCTGAGA